CCCTTTCTGCTGCCAGCTCCCCACTCTTCCCTCTGACTCTCCTTTCTGTGTTCACCTTCCCCCTGCCACTACTGCCAGGCAGACCCTTCCTCTTCTTTCGTACCCATCACTGCCTCCCTGCTCGGCCGGCCCCTCCATCCCTGCAGCAGTGAGAAGCCTTAATTTCTGGTACTGTGTGAGCACTCTGGGGGTGTCTCCCTCCCCCTTCAGGGGCAGCTAGAGGATGAGGGGGGAGGGTATTTAGCACTGGGGCCTGGAGCTTTTCCCCTACTCTGTACCCTACCACCCCTAAAGTTCAAATGCAAAACACTTGAAGCAGCAACTACTGTACCTGGGCCCCAATCCTGCACTCTCCCCTGGCTCCTCATATGCAAATCAAGGGCTGGTTCTGCCCCCACAGCCTGCCCCCTCCTCTCCTCCCATTTCTGGCCTGGCCCCCTAACCACGCACTTTAACCTTGCTTCTTTCTTTTCACTTCTTTTGGGAGAGCGGAGCCTGTGGCCATTCCTTCCCTGGCCCTTCTCTCCTTGAACTTTGAGGCTTGTCATGAATTTTTAAGTAAGCATTTTATCTTTTAGGGGAAGAAACAAATTTATTTCCTGCCCATTTCAAAACCACAACCCTAGTATGTCCTCCATGTTTCAGGCATGTGCTTGCATGTGTGTGGAGGGAGGGACTGTGTTCTTCCTCCTCTGCCCCCAATCCCAGAGTTCCTTTATGCCCCCTGTCTGCCTCCATCTCCTGTCACATCTGAGAGTAATCGCTACCCCGGTCACTCCTGATCTGAAGCCAAAGATGGTGGGAGGGGCAGAGCAGACTAGGGACTGTGGCCATGAGTTGGAGAAGCAGGCCTCCCTCCTGTGAGGAGGAAGCTCGTAAGGAGAGAATGACAGGTTGATACTGAGGCTTGGTCTCCTGCCTTCCCAGCAGGGGGAGAGATGGAATTGAGTTGGGGGCTGCACTTATAAGACTCCTAGAAGGTGCACCCCAGAAGCCAAACTGGGCTGGAGTGAGGAGGGGGCAGTTTTCTCTCTAAATGTAGCATTGAATCTGGCCCTGGTCCCTTCAGATGCCCTGTCCATCCGTCTGCTAGGTAAGTCTCTGCATAGTTGGACCCACTCCTGTAGCCCAGTGTTCCCTTCCTCACACTCAATACCTCAGCCAGGGGCCAAGACACAGAACTTGAATAGAGGTCCTGCCCCGCTACCCACTCACACAGTGCATCCTTGCCCAGTTTGGCTGTCATCAGTATTGTCCCTCGAGAACTGGACAGGCTTCGTTTACACAGTACAGGGTCTCCCCTAGGGAATCCCTCATCCACCTTCCCCATTCAAGCTTGCTTTATTCACAATCTTACCCATTTTTCAGTTGTGTCCCCTGAATGTCTTGCCACCTTTGCCAAGGGTGGGCTAAGGGGAGAGGGGCTGTCCCAGGGATCCCTCTCTCCCCACAGATACCCTTAACCTTACCTCATGCTGGTTCCCTGAAGCCTGGGGTGTTTGTCCAAGTCCTTAATTTTATTCATGATCCCTATTATTCCCCTTCTCTTTTGTGTCTTGCTTCCCCCAACCCTCAGATCCTAAACCATTTCAAGGCTTCCAAATGACCATTATTGGTGAGAAGGATTGTGCAGCTTTTAGTTTTTATTTTTGTTTTCAAAGCCAAAGGGCCTTGTGATGCCCCTCTTGCCCACCTCCCTTCATACCCTGTCCTCCCCTATACGACAATCAATGTGACCTCTCTTAAGGGCTGCTGCCCCCACCCCAACCTTGCTGGTTCTGCAAAGCTTGCCCCCTAACTTCAATTCTCTCTCCTGAAATCTTCCCATTCCACCCCCTCCCTCTCATTTTGGTGCTGGGAATTAGGTGGTGGGGGGCACAGGGAGCAGGGAGATGGGTCCTATGGGGAAGACTTGGGGTATCAGTCGTGTTCTCCTTTATCAATGCTTGGCGATGACAGGAAGAATCTGAGTATTTGTCAGGAGCCCCATTGTTTTGTTTTGCTAGATGAGATTTCTGGTGGCTGTGTGTTTCCTGCTGCCCCTCGGCACACTGTCAGCAGTGCTGGGGGGGGGTGGCAGGAAGTCCTCTGTCCCTCCTCATGTGGCTGTGAGGAGGCCTGGAGGGCAAGCAGCCTCCTCTCCTTATGCCAAAGGAAATCCTGCACCCCAGCCCGAGTTCCCTAGTCCCTAGTGTTTTTTGAAGCATTTTGACCATTCTCATGGCCACTGCATATTTATTTTAATGTTAAGATTTTTTTGACTTAAACGGGTGTGGAGAAGTAAAATAGGCAGAATGCCCCCCAATCTAAAGGGGGTAGGGTGGGGGAGGAAGTATCTCCTTCTCTTTACCCTCCCTTCTCCCCTCCCCCTCTCCCCACCACAGCTCTAAAGCACTTGCTTCAAGTAATAAGCACTTTTGTGAAAAGGCCTATTTTAAGTGAGGACCCTGGGAGCAGCCCCAGGTCCCAGCAAAGGAGATGGAGCGAGGGCTACACAGGAGACAGATGTGTGAATCAGAGGGCGATGTGAAAAAAGCCAGCTTTTAGTTTCTGATTTTGGGGGGATGTTTCTGATTGGGCGGTGGCTTTGGTAGGGTTGTGTTCTATCCTTCAGAAAAACACATGGCACAAACTATAGGTCCCTGGAAGGACCAACAGACCTGGGTCACTGCCACTGTCCAACTGAGACTGATGGGCCACCTCCCCCACCCGTGGCCCCCTGAGCCATAGGACTGCTGAGAACCACTGAATGTACAGCCCAGGTTGGGGTGGGGAGCAGCCCTGGGGGGAGGGGGCTTCTCCTTTTGTTTGGTGCTGTGGGGGTGGGAGAGATGAGACTGAGGGACTGCCACCCCCACGTAGATGTGTGTTCCTTGGGGTGGAGGGGCTAAGGAGGGTCTGCCTCCCTCTCCAACCCCAGCCATGGCCCCTCTTCCTTTCTCACCCCTATCCGTTTTGACTGTAAGTCCAGCTCACCTTTGCCTTCAATATGTAACCAAAGGAAAACTCAATACTGTTTCCACCGCTGTCTGCCCACCTGAGCACCTTCTTACTCCCTGGACCTAGAAGGGGAGAAGAGGCTGGTGGTAGGATGGGTGGGGCCAGAGTGAACGGTTCTACAACTGTACCCCCAAACCTTCTCCGCGGTCTTAGAAGGGGTCCTGAGAGGCGGGGTGGGACAGGCTGGCGGGGCTGGGAGTAGGCACACTCTGTATCTTATGCACATGAGTGTTTCTTTGTTGAAATGACTCCAGTGACTATGCTCCAGTGGGGTGGCCCCTTCCTCCTTCCCTCTCAGCCATTTCTCACCCTCTCCCCACACCCAGTGTTCATCCCTTGCCTCCCCTTCCCACCGCAAAGGAAAATAGCCTTACAGACCCTAGCCCAGAAACCCTACTCCTGGGGCAAGCCAGTATGGGCCCCCATCCCGCCAAGTTTGAACCCTACCTTTTAAGAGGAGGGATAAGGAGCAAAGCAGCCCCTTCCCCTCTAATTGTGGTGGCTCCAGCCTTCCGCAGCCTTGACCCAGGTTGGACAAGGGCGGAGGTAAGGAATCTTTGAGGACCAAGCCCAGTGGTCTGGGAAGAGGGAGGTAGAGAGGGAAGGGTCTGACTTGAGGACTCCCTCCTCCTGACCCAACCCCTAGAGAAGCGACCAAATCCCAGAGATGGGAGGGAGCTGGGGTGGGGAGGGTCTGCTCTTTGAATTACTTGAAGGTACTGACTCCGAGGCTGCTGTTGCCCACATAGGTGTGAGGGGGACACTGTCACTGCATTTGGGAGGGCAGAGGGTGGCGGGTGACGAGAGGATCTGCCCTCGGCCCTCGCTTACTCCTGCTAGGCCCTTTTCCTGGGGAGTCCAGAAGTCTGACTGCCCCAGGGAATGCGGGGAGAGCCTTCCCTCCCGTCTCCATCCTCACTCTGGGCACCCCCTCCAATTGCACTAAAGTAGCTGTTGTGCCAGTCTTACCCCACACCAGGGTGGGGCTCTGCTTCCAGTCTTTCCCCACCACCTCCACTCCCATCCCGGACAATCTCCTTGTTCTGCTTGTATTCCTGGATAGCTCAGCTTTGTATGTGTGTGTTTGGGGGTGGGGGTGGGTCCTGGCTGGAGTGGGTTTGGCAGGGGTTTGGGAAGGGCTAGGGGAAAGATGGAGGATGAAGTCTCCTACCCCCTTCTCCAATTCCGAGCCACAGAAGCTTGGGAGGGAGGGTGCCTACTCTCGCTGCCGTGTGTCTTGCAGATGTGCCAAAATGGGGGTGGGTGGGAGGGGAGGGTGCCTGGCAGAGCAGCCCCCAGGGTGGCTCTCTCAAAGCAATACAGTTCCCCTGCCTGGGGGACGGCAAGACAGGGGAGAGGGTTGGGATGGGAACCTGGGGGTTCCCCATGTACAGCTGTGTATATTCAGGGGTGTTCTCTGTCTGGTACCCACTGTGGGCATCTATGTGTGTGTGAACTTCCCCTTTCCCATGCCCTGCATGACCTGTGATGCTGCAGACACCACCATCCTGTGTGCAGGTGTGTGTTGGGGGGCACAGAAGGGCATGTTCCATGTCCTGTTGCACCCTCCACCCTGTGACCCATGTACTCGGTTGTAGGAAGTAAAGAGAACTGAGCACAATTCACTGGATTCTAGTTGAATCTTTCTCTAAGCAATTTTCCCATTCCTGCCCTTCTCCCTGCCCCGGATCCACCTGTGGTGCTAGTGTTGGGGTCGGGGGTGTTTAATGCTGATGGGCAGCAATAAAGGGCAGATCTGCCCAAATGCCTGCATCCCCAGGGTGCTGAGGGCAGCAGGAAAAAGTGGGGACCTCGGTGCATTTTGCCCCACCCCTCCCCCTCTTCCCTGGGCTAAAGCACAATGCTCTCCCTGAAGATTGATGCACCCTGCACCTCCCCAGGCCCTACTCATGTCCTCCCCCAACCTGCTTTGAGCCCTCCCACCACACCCTGGTTTTTCTATGCTGTTTTGGTGCAAGTACAACTGTCGTAGTCATGGCTTTGGGATGGGTTCTGTTTATTAAAATCCTATTGCTCCTACTGGCCCTGTGTCCCGCCTCCATTCCTGTGGTTGGGGGGAAGGAAGGGCAATCTGGACCCCTTGCCCCTGGCCCCCATCAGCCATCAGGGACCAGGGGCAAGAGCTGCTCCTCCAACAGGGCTATGGTAAGCATGAGGCTGCCCCCCAGCAGCAGCCCCAGCCCCTGCAGTAGCACATGGAGAGTAGGCAGGGGCTCTGGAGGACGAAGCAGGGCTGGCAGCTGAAAGAAAAGAAGAATGTCATGATTCTGACCTCTTAATTCAAGAGGAAGGGTATCTAGTCCCTGCCAGAACACTTTCTTGTGTCTCAGATTCTGGCAGACCTGTGGAGCAACACCCTCCAGGATCTGGTGGTAGAAGTCAGAGAGACTGATGCTTCCCTTTCCTCCACACCCATCTCCCCACTTCCCTTGATTTCTCTGCTGTTCCCCACACCTCTCACCATGTCCACAAGGGCCACATAGAGGAAGACCCCAGCAGTGATCCCAAACACCCAGGGAGTGAGGGGGATAGGGCCCAAGCTGAGCCCCACCCCAAGTGCTGCACCCCCAAGACCCAGGGCTCCAGACACAAGACTCAGCAGCAGCAGCCTCCGAAAGGACAGCCCTGCCTGGAGCAGCATTGCAAAGTCACCTGTTGGGGAGAGAGGATAGAATAGGAGGGAATAAGCCAGCGCTGCCCCTCACCTGTGTTGCCCGCCAGCTTCCAAGTTCTACCCCTTGGAGGCTACTCCTCTTGAGAGCCCACCCCACCCTCCTGGGCCATTCCTACCCAGTTCATGGGGCAGCTCATGGCAGAAGACTGCTAGGGTAGTGCTGAGGCCACTGGAGAAGCCATCGGAGAAGGCAGCACCTGGGGTTAGCAGGATTGGAAGTTGGCCCAGAAGTCTCCTTGGGGGTCGGTGCCTGTGTGTGTCTGTCATTCTCTCATCTCCCCCCACCTTCCCCGGTAGCCATCTTCTGGCCACAGCTGATAACTACGAATCCTGAACTACCCTAGGACCAGCCTCCCCACACCATTCCCTCTTCTGTCACCTATGGCCAGCCCATCGGTGAGGTTGTGTAGACCGTCTCCTAGAAGGACCATCCATGTGATGTTGGCACTGCTGCCACCCTGGTGCCTGTGACTGTGGCTTTGGTGCCCAGGGAGGGCTGGTGTTGGTGAGGACTGGCTGTTCTGCTCCCTCTGGTCCTGAGCCCCTGTCTCTGCAGGAAGAAGGACAAGTGTTGGTAGCTGCAAGTGAGACTGCCTGATGGAGCCTACTGCTCATTTTCTCTTCTAGTCACCTGGAGCTGCCTGTAGGGGCCGAAGGGCCATCCCACTGCCATCCTCGGGGTCCAAGTTTGGTGTTTCGAGGTCCCTTTTTCGCCTGCAGCATCTCTGAAATAGGATTGTATCCCTCCTGGTGGAGGAGGCAGCAGAACTGGGGGATAAGGGGAAGCCAGGCCACCAGGTGGGAAAAGTAACACCTGGTTCCACTTCTGGCACCTGGGGGTGTTTTTTGGCCTCTATTCTCTTCCCAAATTGGCACCTCCCTCTGTTTCTTGTTGACTTGAACTTAGGAGAGGAGGCCATTTGGCCAGAAGTCCTGGGTCTGCTAGGAAACCCCTACCCATTCTTGGCAGACAGGTCCTGCACAGTTAGGCAAATATCCAAAATCCAGAGGCACATGCTGCCCCTCACCTCCTGGCTTGTTTGGCCAGTTCCTGGCTAGGACTGTCATCTTGACAGGAGGAAGAGAAAAGGGTGTCACTCACTGGCTGGAGACCTCTGTTCCGCAAAAGCCCCAGTGTGTTCTCCAGTGTGAAGAGCAGGAAGAGGCCTCCAAGCACCGATATCCCTGGACCCAGGTCCTCCTCTGGTTGCCCGCTAGGTCCTGTGTGTTGCCCTCCTTTTGCCTGAGAGAGAGGAGGTTAGGGCAGACCTGGAAGCACCTATATCAAATAGCATCTCCCTCCCTTCTGGAAGGCAGCTGTGGGCTGAAGCCAGATGTGGGGGAGTGGGACGTGTAAACTGACAGAAGGGGGAGGGGATGTCCTATGGCCAAGAATGAAGGCTGGCTGTCATTGATCAGGGATATAAGGAAGGGGCTTCACGTACATGTGGCAGCAGGTGTAGCAGTGCATCCCCACAAAGAGTGCCCACGGCCAGGGCCCCCAGGAAGCCCAGCAGAGGCTGCAATAGACGAGGTCCCAGGAGCCGTAGCAGCAGCAGGGAGAGGGGAGTAGGGAGGCTGAGCAACAGGACTGCCAGGGCACTATGAAGCAGGGCTGGGGAGAATCAGGGGCTGAAGTTAGGCCAGGGCTGGACCACAGGCAATGTGGGGCCCCAGCGAATCCCCTTTCTTTGCATGGGGTCTACTCCCTACTAGGGCTCAGGGTACCCCACCCCACTCTCACCCACTGACCAGAAAGTAGATTCCCTGGAGGTGCTGGGGCTGGGACTTGGATGCACACACGGCTGTCGATCTGATAAAGCAGGGCTGGGCACAGCAGAGCAAACTGATGGGGGGTCAGAGGGGCAGCAGGGCTCAGTCCAAAATTGACCAGCAGCTGGGAGCCATTCAGACACTGGGCATTGAGGAGAGGGTCATACCTTAGGGAGACACTCGTAACTGACTCATATCTTTACATCTGTCCTTTCATTGCATGAACTACTGGGTCTCTTCTAGGGTCCCCTTTGCTCAGATTGGCAGGTACACCAGGGACTGAGGACAAGGGTACTTATAATCAATATTCGTTAATTACTAGTGAATATTCAATCCAGTGCAAATATTCAATTTGATACAAAGTAGGTGCTAGTGAATACTGCCATCCTCTCCCCAAAGCTCCTGATTATTCTTTTTCTTTTCTTTTTTTTTTTGGTACCAGGAATTGAACCTAGGGACACTTAACAGCTGAGCCACATTCCCAAGCCTTTTCATTATTTATTTATTTATTTA